GGATGGTCTAGATGGTATTTGGTCCTGCCATGCGGGCAGGGGACTGGACTCGATGACCTCTCGAGGTCCCTTCCAGTCCTAGAATCTATGAATCTATGAATAGAAAAATATGAAATGAAGCTAGCCTGTTAGATAGGAAGGATGGTTCACAGAATCAAGAAACCAAAGGCAGCAGCAACAGAAGACCTTATAGCATTTGGTAAAGGAGTTCAGTGAGGCACTAATAGCAGCTATGCAGATCTCCTAATAAGAAGTGCTATTTCTCTGACCACAGATAGGGACGAAGTACAATGGACCCTTATCCCCAAGAAAAGCACTAAGTGGCACGCAGTATATTAATCTTTTTTTGCAGTCTGAACACAAAGGGAAATGATAATCCTGGAAACCTTAATACCTTGTTTTGTTATAGCCACAAGCAATATAAAATAAAATGGCATCAGTCCAAAAAGTGGATGTCCTATCTAATCATTAATGGCTTTGGCAACATCTAACGGATGATGATGATCTCTTTCAGACAAGGAAGGAAGGGAAATATTTTGATTAAGAAAGAAAGAATAAAAAGAGAAATTATGTGGTGAGTCTAAGGACAACCTTTTCATGGAAAAACTAGAGGTAAGATTCTTTACAGTGTACTCCAGGCTGAAGTAATGGTGACAAGAGCAAGCACCTTCACAGCCAGGAAGTACTGGCCCAGAGGCTTGAAACATGGCCTTGAAAGAACCTTAAGAATGAAGCTGAAACTCCATCTACACTACAATAGAAAACCCACAGTGCTGAGTCTCAGAACCAAGGTCAACTGACTCGGGCCAGTGGAGCTTGGTCTGCAAGGCTAAAAATTGCAGACATCTGGCCCAGGCTGGAGCATGGCCTCAGAGACCCTCCCACCATGTTTTCCCATCTGTGAAAAACACTAGGATGGCAAAACAGAATGTCTGAGTAAGAGTTACATTCCTAGCCAAACACCAAAGAAAGTAACACTTAAATGCAGAGTGCTCTCCTGACAGCATTAGGAAACTGATTATATGAGAGCAATAATCAAAGGATTGTAGAGTCACTTGTCAGCCTCCAGGCTTCTAGGCAGAGATTGGTGAGGTTCAGGTATAGGACCCTGCCCTGATTAAAAGAATTTTGGGCTGGGGAAAGAGCCAGAAATCACAGATGGATATCTGAAAGAGTCTTCAGGGCTTAGCAGCAGCTATGAAAATAACTTTGGTCTGGTCCCTCTGGATCTTTCTGGGAATGCCCAGGAGGAGTAGAGGAGGAAAGACATACACGCAAGGTCCTGACCATGCGAAAAAGAAAGCACCCTCCCCTCCAGTTGTAGGAATCCTAGTGTCTGGAGCAAACTGTGAGTTTGTCTGGGGGGCGGTGAGGGGGACGTGTCTGGTTGGTTGAGGTGGAAAGCAAGAAGTTACATCTCTCAGGAACTGCAGGACTTGAACCCTGATCCACAGGATTCTTAGGAGCTAGTAAGCTGCAACCTGCCACCCAGTGACTGCTAACAGTTCCAAGGGCTGAATCCCGACAGAGGACTCTAGTCCTGGAACCTAAATGGCAGTTTGCTGAGGGTCCACAACTTTTATCTAAACCCAGGAGTGGATCCCTGTTGTCCAAAACTGGGATGCACCCTGCTCTGGATTATGTGCTTCCTGCTTCCCTGATTTGACTTCCTGGCATCCCAACCCAGCTTGACTTCTTGCATCTGACTTGTAGTCCCAATATCTGGTTTGTCCCCTACCTCTGACCTCTTGGTATCCTGACCCAGCCTGATTCTCACTCCCAACCTGTGGTTCTGATTTCCAGTTTGTCTCCTACCTCTGACCCCTGGTATCCTGACCTGGGCTGACTACTGTTAGATTCATGGTTCTGCCCTCAAGTTTGTCTCATGCTTCTGATCTGCTGGTATCCTGATCCAAATGATTCTGGACTCCCATCCCATGACCATGGACCCTGGCTCTGACCACTAGGCATGGCTGCCCATGACCGAGCCGTGACAATATCTGACAAAGTCTTGCTGCACCACCACCTTCTTAAGTTGCCTCTTGCCCAGAACTGTCTCCTGCCTCAGTCAGTCTATGTGGACATTAAGACTGTTCTGGATATACCTATCTGATATCAATAGGTGAGCTCTTTCCACTTTGGACAGAATCTTTACAATCTAATGACAAAGAGAAGGGCTTCTGGTCCTGCCTTGTTAATTTATAGGCTCTTGGAGCTTGATTGTTGATTTCTAACAGGACTGCAAGTATGATGAGGTAAGGAAGAAACAATAGAAAGCTTAGTCCTACAGCCTGAAGCTTCAAGAAGTTATTTTTTTGTGCTTCCATCTTCAACCAAATGCTTTGACATGATATAGGGCCCTGAGACTACCACCTATCATGATTCCAATGGCTAAAAGGACTGAGTGAGGTTTCCAAGAGGAGAGGTTCTTGACAAGACACTGCTTGAGGAATTTCCACACATAGTTCTGTAGAAGAATCAGTTAGCTGAGGGACTTTTCTTGTGATGCAACAAATGGATAGGCACATGGAGATAAGCCCCCTCTTCATCCATGCAGCACAGAAAGTCACCTCCACCTTGAATCTGACATACTACATAAAGAAATTCTGAGGGATAGAGCCAGAATGGGATGAAACACTCAGTCTTCTTGAACATCATAAAATACTAGGAGTAAACCCTATCCCACCCATAACGTTCTTTGTTGATGTACCAGTTCTTGTGATAAACAGATTATGTAACATATGAAAGAGCCCGTCTTTTGTTGGAATGAGGAGCAAAATGGCACTGAATATGATTTGGGAATTGGGGAGGAAATTCTATAGTGTAAACTTCTAAAGACAGGCATAGACAGCATGTTGTAGGCAGGGACACCTAATGCAAGTTGTGCATCTTTAGAGCGTCCTTCTGCAGAAGTTTAGCAGGATACCTAAAGTTCTATGGGGAAAGTCACATCAAGAACTGGTGGCTATCAGATGAAGAAACCAGTGCTCCCCTGAGCCTGTCTGCAGGAGACAAGGGCTGCAGAATAGAGCAGAAAAGAGAAGGCGATAAACGTCTCAATATCTGGATGTGCAGAGGGAAAAAAATAGGACAGAACAAAGTTGAAAGCAATCTGTAGCTGCAGGGGTAGCAGAGTGGAGCTGACTGTGCCTTAAAGGGCTAGTTTTACATTCCAAAAGAAAAATCTGTATAGGACTCCCTCCCTATCAGAAATGGACATGGATAAGCCAACAGTTGATAAAGATTTGGAGGAGGAACTTAGTATGAGAATAGCGTGTTTAAAGAAAGAACGCATAAGACAATTTAAGGGAAAACAAATTACACAATATGTCAAAGTTGTGCTAAAAGATAAACATTTTCCAATTCTTATAATCATGAGGAAAAGTTAAAGAAACAGGATTTATTCTCATTTAGAATAGAGGGGAATTCAAAGTGATCTAACAGAACTTAGAAATGTCATATGTGAAGCGGGGGAAAAAATATTGTTCACACCAGACAAAGGTTCAAAAAGGTAAAGAAAATTGGCAAACTGGGAAAAAAACTTTTCCCACAAAGAATAATAAACACATGGAATAAGATACTGGGCATGATAATTAAAGAAAACAAAAGAAAACTATAAATGAGACTGAGATTATTTGATCTCTGATATCTGATAGTGGAAGGGCTTGAGGGATATGTCATAAATATAGGAAGATGAGATAAAGATCAACCAAAAAAATCAGGGAAAACATCTTAAGCATTTTTCTGTTGCTTAAGTTTCTTAAGAAAATTCATTCTGCACTAAGCAACAGACAAATTTAGGACCCAATCTTACAGACATTTATCATGAGTAGTCCCACAGAACTCAGCGTAGGCAGTGCTTGCAGGACTGGATCTTAATGCAGTGCCCTCTATATAGAACAAAGAACCTATTTTGCAACCAAAGAAATTTATGAAATTTAAAAATGTACCTTGTTCTCTTTGTATCTACTCAGATCTGCTATACAATACTCTTTGAATAATTTATCATAGTATTTCTTTGCCAGTCTCTTTTCCCTGTAACCGGAAAGACAATATTATTGATTAAGCATATGGAAAATACAGAGTGAGGTCAAATTACATAGTTATGACATTAACAGGACAGGGGCATTGCAGTTTTGTTTTCTCTAATGAATACAAGTTGTAATGGTAAAAATAAAACAAAATAAGAAAATATACAGCTTGATGGGAGTAATTGCCATGAAACAGTTTTAGTTTCTCTTGAAAATAATTATATATTTTAAAAATTTATTTAAAGCACAAACAAAGCATAATTTTAAAGTTGTACTCTTTGTAGGGGTTTCTGAATGGTAGTTTAGTTCTCTTAGGGAATGAACAATAGTTTGTTAATTTCTGTGTCATCAGTTCATTTTGACACAGCTGTATTACTTTATCTCCTACACTTTTTTCATTTTTTAAATTTATCAAGAGTTCAAACAATAAGAGCAAATATGCATGGCAATTTTTAATGAATGAGGAAAAAGATAAATACAAAGTGATCTAAAAATAATGTCTTATTATAGCCCAAATTACCAATTCATGTCCACTGCATCTTCCTCTTTCCACAGGAATCTATAGTTTTCTCTTACAACATCAAGGTCTGTCTTGTCACTTGCTCTGTAAAAGGGTACATTTTTCTTAAAAAGCAGATCTAGTATTAAAATGAAATTTTACAGCACCAGAAACAAAATAATTAGATCATCATTTGGCAAATGCTGGTATTTTAGAATTCCTTGCAATATGTATTGAGTTGGACATACTGGGAGATATTTTAAGAAGCAACGACTGTTCATGAGAACAAGTATTATACACTAACTTTTTCCCTAAAAGAATAAAAGAGCTTGCTTCCAACATTAAAGTCACTCATAACTATTAAAACTGTGTGTGATTTAATTCTACATGAAAAGTTATGTTTGAAACATAAAAAGAGGATCATCTGCAGCTCAGAACAAGGGTTTAGCTTCCCCGGGGAAGATATTTAGTGATATTCCAGACTTCACAAGTATCCTGGGTTCAGATTGTCAAAACAGTGCAGAGGATTTACCCACACATCTTCATTAACATTAATAAAGATCATCTGAATAACTGCCTGCACTTCTTTGGAAACCTCAACCCGAGTAACTAGCCTCTTGTGACTTTGGTAAAATTTGGTAATTATCCTTTAAAAAGTGCCTGGTACTCCAAATGGCAAACAATTGTACTACCTGCAAGCACTTATTCCAGCACTATGTACTGTACCACAGAAGTCTGAGTACAAGATTGTCATTTTCTACCCTCATCGGAGCAGCATTTGACATTCTAGGAATGAGAGTTGAACACTCAGCAAATACTGGATTGTTTTAGATACACCCTCCATGTGTTGTCTTTTAATCTACATAACACAAAAATAAAAACTCCCAACTGAATTTCATCTAGCTTTTCATGTATAGATACAAATTGTACAAAGTTAAATCAAGACAACTAACAATTCTCCGCATCTAATTCAGATATTTACAACTACCATAGTTGGTACACTTTAGCAAAAAGGTTAATGATTTGATACACAAATAAATCTCTAGTCACAGAATTAATTACAATATTAATAAACCAAAAAGAGTTTCCCAGCATATATTTAGCAGTTTAATAAAATAGGTTAAGTATGTTCTCTAACGGTACTTACCCTGAACGTTGGAAGTCCTCCTTTTTGCCACCATAGTATAAAATGTAGTCATTCACAAACTTTTTATGTCTTGCATACTGAATAAAGCAAAACTAAGGAATTCATTTTCAGTGTTCTCTCTCACTCCAGGGCTGGTTTATCTGGCTTCACATACCATTACCTCAGATAAGAAGATTAGTACAAAACTGTTTCTACAATATAAGGGATTTAAAGAAGCTATTACCAAAATTAATTTTAATGGAAAGGAAGTTTAAAAAATTCTTATTAGAATAACCTTTTATAAATTAATTCACAACAGAAGAATTTTAGGGCAGAGTTAAAGTTGTAAAACCCATCCACATGCCATACCCTTATAAAAACTTGTAATATATTTGAAGATGTACAACAGACCTTTAATCCAGCCTTTACTGTGTATTCTATTGCAATTCAAACTAGAGTTCCATGATACTCCAACCCTGGTTTAAAATATATTCGCATCATTTTTGCGTGATATAAATATAAAATTACTAATGAAATGATGCATTTTTTTTTTTACTTTTCAGTGTCAGTGTAAAAGCAATAAACTTCAGTAGATAACTTTGTTTAGGTCCACAATATCAAGTTACAGGAAATTATATTGTGATTGTCTGAATATTTCTGTCTTACAGCTATAATTTGACACACATTTTAGATGATAAAACAACAAGCAAAAACAAAACCGTATAAACAATCACATTGTTCTAGAAATAAGCACCTCCACAAATGGAAATAAAACAGTAAAACAATAACTTAAAATATATAACAAATTTCTCAGACATTTATGGAACTACAGAATTAGAAATAAATTATCTTTCTGGCATGTTCTCAAGCCACATGTTAAATTGAGTTCAATAAGAACTCATTTCTATCAACCTACCGCCTGCACTAAAATCATTTTATGGAAAAAAATATGGTACATGTATTTTCTGCTAGAAGTTTCCAAATGTTAACTTAATCTTAATACTATTCTTCAAAAATTAAAGACCTAAATTCAAGCCTACAGGTAGGAGCCTTTATTTAGCAAGGCTACAGGAGGCTGTATATGTCATGGTGAAGCTGACTAACTTCAAAGAACTCCAGCTTCTTTGTCACCATTATCAACTTTTATAATAGTAGGCAACTGACTTGCCCTTCCAACTGGAGGAAAAGAATAAGATGGTAGCAGCAGAGAAATTATCCAAATCAAGCACTTATACAAAGCTCCATGAAAACAACAGAAACACTATGGCTAACGAATTCATCCATGGGCTCTTTAATCATAGCTTCTTCTTTAACTGCTTGTTTTTACAATTTGAGGATCATTAGCCAGATACAGATGACTTTATTTTTCCTGTACTCTTTCCACATAATGTAAAGGTGACACAGCAGGGTTAATTACTTTGAAGACCACCTGATTTTGTACATAAACATAGCTCACTCGGCCAGAGCGACTGGATTTTATCCTTTCTTGGTCAATGAAGCTTCTGGCCTTTAGCCAGGATATCACATTATTATAAAAAAATTATTGCTTTGTCAACTTACACAGCACAAACAAAATATAAGACAAATTCCTGCCCCAAAGAACTTACAATCTAAATAATACAGAACAGGAAACAGGTTAACACAGTTCAGCTCAGAACAGCCTCAACTTGTAAATGTGCCTTTGGTTCATGGCACTGTGTGTACTCAGATTTTTGTGATAGACCTGACAAAGTAAGAGTGTTTCTTAAAAAGGTAGACTTAGCTGAAGAGTAAGTCTGAGTTAAGTAGCACAAATGACAATTTCTCTCTATTGCAACAAAACGAGGCATCTCCAAATGTTTCCATGTTCCACATATGGATTGCCACAAATCCACACAATATACCCATATTAATCCCAACACAACTAAAAAAATACAAATTCTACTGTTTCCAAATAATTTATAATCATGGCTATATAAGGCAGGAAACTAATTCACTTCAGCTACTGAAACACTAGATAGATAGATAGATAGATAGATAGATAGATAGATAGATAGATAGATAGATAGATAGATAGATAGATAGATAGATAGATAGATAAGATAAAAAATAATGCTAAGATTTACACAGGGCTATTTGAATTTCATCATGCAACATGGCAAGTCTTTGGTCATTGTGACACTCTGTACCTCAGAGTGGCACCCTGGAACCCCCATATTCACCACTGTCATATAATTATGATATGTTTTGTACAAAATATGCCTTGTGAGGTATCATTTTAAAAGTCTTGATCTGTTGAACATTAATATCCTGTTGGACTGTATGTGCTATCACTGTATGTGAAGTTATGAAGTTTTGCTTTGTGTGTGTTACTGAAATCTGTTGTGAGGTTGGGAACACCCACAATCAGCCTTTCAGGAAAAACAATGGAGTAGCCAGACAGTGTTAATGGCTCATCCACACCCAACAGGGAAAGAATCCACTATCCCAGAAACGATATATAACAGAGATTGTCTGTTTGACCAATGGGGATTGTCTGTTTCCCACATTACAGCAAAAGATCTTTCCAGCAAGCTGGAAGAAACTATAAAAGAGGGGAAGTGACATCATTACTTGGCCTTTCTCCCCTCCCAACTCAATATTTGGAGGACAAAGACTTTGAATTGGGGGATGGTGGTCCCAGGCCAGGGAAGAGTCTCAGCCTGTGTATTGAGGATCTGTGACTTGTTTGTACCATCTGTCAGGGTGAAACACCACTTGATTCAAATCCTGTAGGGTTTGTAGAACTTAGACAGCGATTTTATGTTTTGTTTCTTAAATAACCAACTCTGATTTCTATGCCTGCTACTTATAATCACTTAAAATCTATCTTTCTGTAGTTAATAAGCCTGTTTTATATTCTACCTAAAACAGTGTGTTTTGGTTTAAATGCTTGGGAAATCTCAGCTTAGTTTACAATGGCTAGCATGTGTCCCCTCACATCGAGAGAGGGGCGGACTGGGAAATGAATTTACACTGGCTAGGTTTCTGACCAGTGCAAGATGGTACACTTCTTTGGTGCAAGACGGGGAGCTGGGTGGAATTGATTGGAGCCTCTCTATTGTTGGTTCATGAGTGGCTGGGAAAGCATTCATATAACTCAGTTGGGTGTGTCTTGGCCTGTGGATGTCTGTGTAAGTGCAGTACCTGCCAGAAGTTTGTGGCTTGACACAGCATCACAGAATGAGAGGGATACCACAGGTTGGTGGGACAGAGGACTCAGTGATTACACAACTGAGGCTGTAGCACGGGAACCCCGTTACAGTGATTTCTCTGTGTTACTGAGAGGAATACGGGCACAATATCACGCAGAAGCAGCATTACTACAGTACCTTCAAAATAACTATTTAATAGGATCATTGAACAAATCTATATCTGCGTAACATAAAGGTCATAAAGCATTACCAATCCTCCAAATTCCCCAGGCAACAAGGAGACTCACATGAACATGTCCCTGACAGGAGCATTTCTCCCCAAGTGAAAGAAAAGTTGAAAAGCTGAGAATGTGTTTTTACCAATATAAACAAATAATCAAAGGATACAGCATCCATGGCTATCAAATGAAATCTCCTATTTCTCGCTTCTTCCCTGTTAACAGAAATAATAATTTTGTTTGAGTAAAAGTTCAGTTTAAATACAAAAATCTCTGATAGAATTGATCATTACCTATCCCATTGTTCTGCCGCAATTTGTCTGTCAGCCACCTTGACCTGTTTTACTTTCTGGAATGGTTTTATGAGTAGGGCATCTTCATTACTTGTCCTATGCATAGGGAAAAAGTGAGGATTACATTATTCAAAAAGTTTTCGTATACAATAAGTTCTAGTACACCAAAGTCAGCTTGGGAAGTCAGCAGCTTGAATGTTATAAGGAAAAGGTTGTTGTACAGACTAGCATTGTTTGCCTCTTGTTAAGACAAGTCTATACTATCATGCTAAAGTGGCGCAGCTGTGTAGGCGCTGGATTTTATAATGTACTATGAAAATTAATGTAGGAGCTGGCTTTTAGAATGTCCCATAAGAATTAATGTATGATTTGATTTCATCCTGTCAGCCACCCTTTTTGAATAGCAGAAAGGAATGACAGACCAGAACAATCCTTCTGACTGATTATGATCACCCTTTTGTTTTAGGATAAGTTATAATGTCTACTATGGTTTCCTATATGTATTACAAACTAGGCTCTCTAGTTAAATATACATTTCTTTGTTTTAAGGTTTTAGTTAGTAAGAGACAGGATTCTCTACTGTGTCTATATTAAGGAGATTAGAGAAACATTGAAGGCCTGGGTCTCAATGTAAATTGTCTTGGTTATTGATTGTAAAACTTAGCAAGATTTAATTTGCAATGCCTTTTTGCTCGATATAAAATACTACTGTTTGTGTGAATGAGGAATGTACGCATCAGGAAAAGATAAAGTCTGAAGGCCATTGTTATAGCCAGATGATCAAGGAAGGAGGAGTGAAGAGACTTAAAGGACATCAAAGAATCATCAACACACATCCATAATGAAGGGCAGACTGACTACCCTGAAGTGAAGGCTGGCACCCCTAAGGACAATTGATTAAATCGGAACAAAGGACAGGATAACCGTCTCAAAGGTGTATTGGAACGTTTACACCAATTAAGAAGTAACCAGTCACAAAGTGACACAGCAAAATCCATAGGCTTCAACAGAGAAAAAAAACCTATAAGAACAGGGTGCTTGGCCATGGGACTTTGGGTTCGTCTTGCCACACTCCAGGAGCATCGGATCGCGACCGACAAGAGCCCAGCTCCACACTCATGCTCAATCTAACTGGCCATTAGATTGACTCGAGCTACAACAGACTGGTAACTATGAACATCACTGGCAGGAGTGTGTGTGTCTGAAAAGCATATGCTAACTGTTGTATTTCCAATAAATGCTGCGTATTTACCTTCCTCTATAAAAATCCCGTGTGCTTTGTATGAGCATAACAGCTGCACCAATGCCGCTGCGCCGCTGTAGCACATCTGGTGAAGACATGCTATGCCGACAGGAGAGTGCTCTCCCGTCAGCATAATTACTCCACCTCCACAAGAGGCAGAAGCTATGTCGGCGGGAGATGCTCTCCCGCCGACATAGCGCAGTGTGGACACTGCTTTAAGTCAATGTAACTTACGCCACTTGAGGGCAGATCGTTTTCACACCCCTGAGCAACGTAAATTACATCGATGTAACCAGTAGTGTAGACCAGCCCTTAGTTTCTGTGTTAATGAAACCAATGTTAAGATGGGGGTGAGAATGGACTTTACTCATGTGTGGAGTTGAGACCAAGTCCAGACAGGCACCTGCTCATAGGCAATGTATATAGAGAGTTGCTTACAACAGTATATCTTGTCTGACAATCCCGTCACTCCACAGTCACATTGTAGGAGTCACGTGGGTAGTCACACAGATATGGAACCTGCTGCAGCAGGTGCTGGGAGACAGGATCATGCTCCATTCCTTCACGCCCTATATCATACAGGCCAAGGATAGAAATATCTCATTCTCATCTAACGATCCATCAGTTTTTCTTTACCTCAACAGCCCTATATAGATCTAGGATCCAAAGCAGAGGGAAAAGAGGCAATATGTTCAGAGAACAAGAGTTACTGTTGGTAACCCCTTTTTCCTCCCTTCATGGTATTGCCTCCACAGAGCTCCACTGTAACAGATTAATGAACACTGACCTCTCTGAGGGGCACAGACTAAGGAGCATTGCTAGTTGAACAGTGATTGAAGCACTGTCCTCTGAACACCAACATCTGTTCCAAAGCAAACCAAAAATATCAAAAATTCAACAAAAACAAGCAAATAAAATAAACTTTTTATACTAAACTTAATTACACAACTGTTTTAAAACATATTTAGATTTATTTGTCTAACACAGGGGTGGCCAATCCATGGCTCCAGAGCCACATGCGGCTCTTCAGAAGTTAATATGCAGCTCCTTGTATAGGCACCGACTCCAGGGCTGGAGCTACAGGTGCCAACTTTCTAATGTGCCGGGGGGTGCTCACTGCTCAACCCCTGGCTCTGCCACAGGCCCTGCCCCCACTCCACCCCTTCCCGTCCCCTCCCTGAGCCTGCCATGCCCTCGCTGCTCCTCGCCCCCCCCTCCCCCAAAGAGCCTCCTGCACGCCATGAAACAGCTGACCAGGAATTGCAAGGAGGGAGGGTGAGGCACTGATCAGCAGGCCTGCCAGTAGGCGGGAGGTACTGGGAGCAGGGGGGGAGCTGATGTGGGGCTGCTGACGTATTACAGTGGCTCTTTGGCAATGTACATTGGTAAATTCTGGCTCCTTCTCCAGCTCAGGTTGGCCACCCTTGGTCTAACATTATGGGTAAAAAGGGAATGTTTGCTCCATGATGGCAGGCAGAGAGGTAGTCAGAGACCCATAAAGGGGTAGTATTTATATTGTCAATCTAAGGACTGTAGGACTTGGGAGAACTAAGCATACCAATTGTGCAAAAAGGTTTTGTGGCCACATGGCCAGGCACACAACTCTTGCACTGGGGCTCTGCAGAGGCAATGTCAGGAAGGAGTCTTTTTACATTTTTTCCCAGAGAGAATGAGATTCATCATGAACCAAGGGTAGAATATATACATATGAAGCAAACCCTCATTAGAGTACTACTGGGAGCCAAATAGTGTGTACCAGAACAAAGGGTAAAGAAGATGATTTCTTTGAAACAGCTCCCAATGTTTAATATTTCATCTAACAATTAGAATGATGTAATGCATAGTGGCACTTGGAAAAACAAACTAATACTGAACAAAAAAGTCAATATTTTTAATAGAATACAGCTAAAAATTCTAAAAAGAGAAAAAAACACCTACATTTCTTTTAGTGGTTAAAGCACCTTAAAGGTCAGATATAAAATGCAGTCAGACATTACAAAACACTTCCTCTTACTTCCACTACAGAAAATATAAAAGGCTCCCAGAAAAGGTCCCAGAAAACCTGATTGGAATGGAGCCTGACAAAAAAGTAAGGAAAAGAGTCACAGAAACCGATCCTGGAACAACAACAAAAATTCCTGACTCAATTCAGAACAAATCTGTATTGTTGTGGGTAACTGTCAGAGAAGCACAGTGCCACAGCAGAAAAAAAATCCCAATAAAAGATGGTCAGACCGCAAAGTTCAGGGTCATAAAGTGTATGAATCGCTAAATGAAACTGACAAGACTGAGCTTAAATGAGCATCTCAAGGGCTATGTGCAAGTTAACTGACCCAATTTGTTGGTCTCTTGAAGCCAGGCTTAACAGAGAGAACAGGCTGGAAGAAATTAAATAATAATCAAGCAGTGTTAGTGTTTCCTTTCCGTGAGGTACGTGTTTTATTCCTACAAAACCTGCTGCCATCTGGCCTTGGTCATTTTGATCTCTCTCTTTGTAGTTCCACAAGTCCTGGTGGGTGGTAACAAAGTGATACCAAATTGAACAGAGCAGCCAAAACCCAGCCGTTGATGCTAGTGCTTGGAAAAACAAAGCACTCAGCTGAGAGATATGAGAGGCATACAGACACCAGATGGACGTGGCAGAACTGATCTTTCTCAGTTGCTCCTTGGAGACAACATGCTCTGACAAGCCTGAGGAGGCAACGGCATAGGAATCAAATGTATATTTTTATTTTTCACAAACAGCTTCACTATGCCAGAGTTAAAAAAACAGGGTCTTCTATATATATAGCTAGAAGTCATATGCACACAAGAAATGTAATGTATGTCAATATTATAATGCATTACCTTTTATTCCTTTGGTCAGATTTCTCTCCACTCTCATCATCACTAAAATCAGAATCATAGCCTCCCCGGCCATGTACCTGGAAATAATTAAGAAATAAAGGAAAATTATCACAACACAATAAAATTAGAATCTTAGAAATGTAGGACTAGAAGGGACATCGAGTGGTCATCTAATCCAGCCCTATGCACTCAGTTAGGACAAAGTCTAGCTAGATCATCCCTGACAGTTGTTTGTCTAACCTGTTCTCCAACTATGCGGATTCCACAATCTTCCTTGGAAGCCTATTCCAGTACTTAACTATCCTTATAGTTAGAAAGTTTTTCCTAATATCTAACCCAAATCTCCTTTGCTGCAGATTGAGGGCTTTGTCTACATGGCACCACAGATCCAGATTATAAGGGTCTAAACCAGGGGTTGGCAACCTTTCAGAAGTGGTGTGCCGAGTCTTCATTGATTCACTCTAATTTAAGGTTTTGCGTGCCAGTAATACATTTAAACGTTTTTAGACGGTCTCTTTCTATAAGTCTATAATATATACCTAAACTATTGTTGTCTGTAAAGTAAATACGTTTTTTAAAATGTTTAAGAAGCTTCACTTTAAATTAAATTAAAATGCAGAGCCCCCTGGACCGATGACCAGGACCTGGGCAGTGTGAGTGCCACTGAAAATCAGCTCGCATACCGCCTTCAGCACGCGTGCCATAGGTTGCCTACCACTGGTCTAAGCTGTAGAATGCTCCATGTTGCACTCTAATTGCCCAGGTAGATCCTGCTGGTGCAAAGTAAAAGATACATAGTTTCCCATTTCAGGACTGCATCAGTGCAAACTAGATACCTTTTAGTTCACAAAATGGAACTATATCAACGCAAACTAGGTATCTGTTAGTTCATGCTAACAGGGTCTACATTGGCAGTAAGAGCACAACATGTTAGTGAGCACGAACCATACTGGTACTGCCCACTGTCAAAGACACAATACTGGACTAGATGGCTATTGGGTCAGTCTGGAAATTCCTACATTTCAACAACCATTATCCACGGACAAAAACCTGGGAAAACAGGTAATACTAACACTTTGCCTTGAAGGTTAACAAACTTGGATTCCACTGAACCTACAGGAGAATCAAATGTTAGAGACAATGCTCTTCCAGATTCCAAATGCTCAAAGCTATGAATTCTTACTTTTCATCAATTGTGGCAATTTTGCCCAGACAATCTTTTTTAGGTAGCCAGGACCAAACCATATAGTGTTTTATATATCAAAATCAACATCGACATCATCCCGATGTGCAGAAAGAATAGCAAATATGGCAAGCGACCAGCTTGGCTTAACAGTGAAATCTTCGGTGAGCTTAAAAACAAAAAGGAAGCTTACAAGAAGTGGAAACTTGAACAGATGACTAGGGAGGAGTATAAAAATATTGCTCAAGTATGAAGGGGTGTAATCAGGAAGGCCAAGGCACAACTGGAGTTGCAGATAGCATGGGATGTGAAGGGTAACAAGAAGGGTTTCTACAGGGATGTTAGCAACAAGAAGGTGGTCATGGAAAGTGTGGGACCCTTACTGAATGGGGGAGGCAATCTAGGGACAGATGATGTGGAAAAAGCTGAAGTACTCAATGTTTTTTTTTGCCTCAGTCTTCACAGACAAGGTCAGTTCCCAGACTGCTGCTCTGGGCAGCACAGTATGGGGAGGAGGTGAGCAGCCCTCAGTGGTGAAAGAACAGGTTAAGGACTATTTAGAAAAGCTGGACATGCACAAGTCCATGGGGCCGGATGCAATGCATCAGAGGGTGCTGAGGGAGTTGGTTGATATGATTGCAGCGCCATTGGCTGTTATCTTTGAAAATTCAAATTGCGATTGGGGGAGGTCCCGGATGATTGGAAAAAAGCAAATATAGTGCCCATCTTTAAAAAAGGGAAGAAGCAGAATTCGGGGAACTACAGACCAGTCAGCCTCACCTCAGTCCCCGGAAAAATCATGGAGCAGGTCCTCAAGGAATCCATTTTGAACCACTTGGAGGAGAAGGTGGTGATCAGGAACAGTCAACATGGATTCACCAGGGGTAGGTCATGTCTGACCAACCTGATTGCCTTCTATGATGAGATAACTGGCTCTGTGGATATGGGGAAAGTGGTGGACATGATATACCTTGACTTTACCAAAGCTTTTGATAAGGTCTCCAACAGTATTCTTGCCAGCAAGTTAAAGGAGTATTACGGATTGGATGAATGGACTATACGGTGGATAGAAAGCTGGCTAGATCGTCGGGCTCAGCGAGTAGTGATCAATGGCTCCATGTCTATTTGGCAGCCGGTATCAAGCGGAGTGCCCCAGGGGTTGGCCCTGCGGCCAGTTTTGTTCAAGAGTTTCATTAATGATCTGGATGATGGGATGGATTCACCCTCAGCAAGTTTGAGGATGACACTAAGTTTGGGGGGAAAGGTAGATATGCTGGAGGGTAGGGATAGGGTCCAGAGTGACCTAGACAAATTGGAAGATTGAGCCAAAAGAAATCTGATGAGGTTCAACAAGGACAAGTGCAGAGTCCTGCACTTCGGACAGAAGAATCCTATGCACTGCTAAAGGCTGGGGACCAACTGGCTAAGCAGCAGTTCCCTAGGTCCTTTTCTGCAGATTACAGTGGACAAGAAGCTGCATATGAGTCAACAGTGTACCCTTGTTGCCAAGAAAGCTTACGGCATATTGGACTGAATTAGTAGGAGCATTGCCAGAAGATCGAGGGAAGTGATTATTCCCCTCTATTCAGCACTGGTGAGGCCACATCTGGAGTACTGCTTCCAGTTTTGGGCCCCCCACTGAAGAAAGGATGTGGACAAATTATAGAGAATCCAGTGGAGGGCAATGAAAATTATTAGGTGTCTTATGACTTATGAGGAGAGGCTGAGGGAACTGGGCTTATTTAGTCTGCAGAAAAGAAGAGTGAGGGGGGATTTGATAGCAGCCTTCAACTATCTGAAGGGGGGTTTCAAAGAGGATGAAGCTAGGCTGTTTGCAGTGGTGGCAGATGACAGAACAAGGAGCAATGGTCTCAAGTTGCAGTGGGAGAGGTCTAGGTTGGATATTAGGAAACATGATTTCACTAGGAGGGTTTTGAAGACTGGAATCGGTTACCTAGGGAGGTGGTGAAATCTCATCCTTGGAGGTTTTTAAGGCCTGGCTTGACAAAGCCCTGGCTGGGATGATTTAGCTGGGGTTGGTCCTGCTTTGAGCAGGGGGTTGGACTAGATGACCTCCTGAGGTCTCTTCCAACCCTAATCTTCTATGATTCTATTATCTTAATTGCACTAAGAAGCAAACTGGAGGCTAGCACATACTTTAGAGAACAGATACAATGTATGATAACTTATAAACAGAGAATTTGCAAATTATGTCCCTTCTGCTATCCTCTCTTTGTCTTTTCTATTTACATTGCTAGTCCCTGCTCCAAAGAGCTTAACTATTACTCTGTACAGTGCCTAGCACAATGCTTAGCCCCTAGTGCTACTATAATACCAACAAACAGTAACAACAGCAGGAGAACCCATGAATAAACAGAAAGCCACATCCTGCACTAGAGATAGCTTCCAAGTTACCTTGGAAAAGTAGCCTCACATAGAGTACATTGCAGTAACCCAATCTGGAGTTCAACAGTAACTGTGTCTCGGTCAGTATCAGAAAAAACAGTCACAGTGACCTAGCTACTGAAAGTTGGAAAAACGCATCTCTGACTATCAACAATACCAGGTGAACGTTACAATGGTGCACCTACAGTGGCTACACCCTGACACTTGCAAATATCATACTGGAGACACAACAGCATCCTCTGCCAGGCTGCTTGCAAGATTGTGGACCAAATTTATATTATGCTGAATACCACTGTCTTTGTGTAGCAATGCTCAAGGAGATTTAAAAAAAACTTTTTTTTTTTTAACTTTAATTTTATTATTGAGTTGTTGGAGTTTTGTTTTCCTTCCTGTTCTTGGTTTGAAACTACAGTTTCTCTCTCTCGAAGACGGAGACAAGACTGGTCTGGAGCAATAACATCCCTCCAGGATTCTCCATGCAACTCAGTAAATTCCCCTGCTTCCCATCCCACGCACTGTCCTATGGAGCCCAAAGAGGACATATCACCTCTCTGTTTTTCCCCAAGAAGTGACAAGTAGGTACTTGCTGGAGCACTGTGGAGAAATAAGTGGATTTAATTAGCAATACAGAGTGTGGACGGGATCAACTTGCTATTCATCCATTAACTAAAAACCCAGTTTTTGTATTCTCTTTTTCACATTTCAGAAGTGTAGAAGATGTTGCTAAGGCATTATCTGAAGAGTTGTAGCAACACCAAGTAAACTAAATATATTGAGGAGGTGCACCCGCATCTATGTATTTCTTAATTAGCTATTATTATTTCTGTCCTTTATATTTTTCAGGAAACTTCCCAAGAAACTAAAAAAAAAAAAAAAAGAACTACAGGTGCCACTCTACACTACTGCAGTGTCAGAGTAGCCAGCATGTGCTGGCACAGAAGCTGCAATGGTGCAATAAATCCTCCCAGCACAACCCCACAATGCTCTAAACCAGTGATACTCAGACTGAGGCTCTCAAGCCCCAAGTACCTCTTTCATATGTTTCCTGCACCTCTTTGAAGCACATGATTAAACACTGCATGATTGAATATACAGTACTATAGTAAATGAAACAATTAATTCACACTACTGTGGCTCTTTTGGGTAATGTTGATTGCTAATTTGACTCCTGAACCACTGAGGTTTGAGTATCAGTGCTCTAGAACAGTGGCTAACAAACTGGGTCGCGACCCAATACTGGGTCTCCTTCTTGTTCAGCCAATCGCTAAGACAAACAAATTTGTTTACATTTATGGGAGATAATGCTGCCGCTTCTTACTTACGTCACCTGAAAATGAGAACAGGCGTTCCCAGGGCACTTTTGTAGCTAGCATTGCAAAGTGTTTACATATCAGATATGCTAAACATTCGTATGCCCCTTCATGTTTCCGCTACTATTTCAGAGGACATGCTTCCATTCTGATGACGCTCGTTAAAAAAAAATAATGTGTTAATTAAATTTGTGACTGAACGCCTTGGGGGAGAATTGTATGTCTCCTACTCCATGGTTTTACCTGCATTCTGCCATATATTTCATGTTATGTAAGTCTCGGATGACAACCCAGCATATTTTGTTCAATTCAAGAACACTTTTGCTGCAGATTTGACAAAACACAAAGAGGGTACCAATATGAGATTTCTAAAGATAGCTACAGCACTTAACCAAAGGTTTAAGAGTCTGAAATGCCCTTCAGAATCTGAAAGGGACAAGGTGCGGCGCATGCTGTCAGAAGTCTTAAAAGAGCAACACTCCAATTTGGAAACTACAGAACCCGAACCACCACAAAAGAAAATCAACCTACTGCTGGTCGCATCTGACTCAGACGATAAAAATGAACATGTGTCAGTCCACACTGCTTTGGATCGTTATCGAGCAGAACCCGTCATCAGCATGGAAACACGTCCTCTAGAATGGTGGTCGAAGCGTGAAGGGGCAGATAAATGTTTAGCATATTGGCGCATAAATACCTTGCAACACTAGCTACAACAGTGCCATGGAAATTTTCAGGTGACACTGTAAATAAGCAGCAGACAGCATTATCTCCTGTAAATGTAAGAAACTTGTTTCTCTTAGTGATGGGCTAAACAAGAAATAGGACTGAGCGGACTTGTAGGCTCTAAAGTTTTACATTGTTTTGTTTTTCAGTACAGTTATGTAAAAAATAATTCTACATTTGTAAATTGCACTTTCACGATAAAGAGATTACACTACAGTGCTTGTATAAGGTGAATTGAAAAATACTATTTTCAATACCGTACCATTTACAGTGAAAATATTTGTAAACTAAAATAATATAAAGTGAGCACTGTACACTTTGTATTCTGTGTTGTAAATCAATATATTTGAAAATGTAGAAAACATCAAAAAATATTTAAATAAATGGTATTCTATTATTGTTTAATAGTGCGATTAAAACTGCGATTGTGTTTTTAATCTTTTGACAGCCCTATTTATTATGTACCAATAAATTAAAGGTAGTTTTATTTTCAACTAAAGAAAACATTTTATCATGCTCCCTTTATCTGCTATGCTGAGGGCTAGTCTACACTGGCAATGCTAAAGTTTAACGTGGCTTGTGTAGTCGCGGCAATGCGCTGGGAGAGGTGCACTGTCTACATTGGCGCTTTACAGCGCTGAAACTTGCTGCGCTCAGGGGGGTGTTTTTTTACACTCCTGAGCAAGAAAGTTGCAGCGCTGTAAATTGCCAGACAGGCCCTGAGTTTAATTCGCTCAGAAACATAGTGCAGTATGGCTCAATGAATAATTAAGGTTTAAGTAAATACATTTTTTTCCCAAAATGGGAAAATGAAGAACCTGAAAATCATCTAATTTATTGACCAACATGCAGCTTTTCATACCAAAGAGAATTAACTTTTCCTTAGGAAAGAAATAAAACACTGAAACAGCAAAATTAAAACAAGTGACTCCAATTATGTTTTGTTACCAATTTAAATCAGCCCAACTTTTTGGCTCAGTTAACAGGCTGGTGTATACATCTCAGATGCAAATCACTACTTGCAAATAGCACCCACACCAGCAACCTCAACAGAACAGAGCCGTCACTGGAGAAGAGAAGGAACCCATCTACACTGGGGTGAAGGCACATTGGTGGCATGGGCAAGGAGTAAAGATGTTAGCAAAATAAAGAGTCAAAAAAGTTTTAATAAGTACAGTTCTCAAATGATAACGGCAAAAGCAAGAATATAAAGGTAAATAAGAAGATCAAAGGACCAGAAGTTTGTAGGGCACCAGAGAGAAGAATCACATTGAAAATTTGCCAAAGATATTGGTCAGGAATCACTGACAAAACAAATGCTCATGCTTCAAAAAATACGGAGTCGCCTCTGCATTTCACAGGCCTTGTCAGAAGCGGACCGAGAGGAACAGGAGTACCGAGGAGGACCACATCAGTCCAGGAGAAAAGCGACCCCCGTCTAGTGAAGGGCCTCTCCCTCCCCCCCTGAACGCCCCTTCCCCTCGATGAGGGGTCTCCTGGCTGCCCAGCCTCCCCCCGTGGGCGGGTCAGTGGCTGCCCCGAGCCCCGCTCTCCCCTCCGCAGGGAGCGCCCCAGCTGTTACTCACGGCCTGAGAGAGCAGCAGCTGGGCCGGCACCATGGTTGCCGGCTCGGTCAGCGCCCAGGGACGAGGGCAGGGGAGCGCTTCCCGCACGTGAACCGGCCCGTGGTTGGGCGCTTCCAGCCCCGGCCGAGCGAGAGGCGCAGGCCGGGCCGGCTCCCAGCGGCGTCCCTCCGCGTGAAAGGCCCGGCCGGAAACCGGGGCTGGGGCAGGGCTCGATCAACGCGGCCTTACGCAATGAGCGCCGCGGCCGGGCTGGCGAGGCTCCAGCTCTGGAGAGGGGCTGCCTGGAGGGGGAGAGACAGCGGGGGAGACCCTTGCGCGGGCGGGCGGGCCCTCCTCAGAAACGGGAACGCGGGACTTGGCGCAGGGGAATGGGCGTGATTCGAACACAAAGCTGGTCGGAGACATGAAACCGACCAGGGCTGGGAGCAGAGCGAGCCAAGGAATTGGGGGAGGGGGGGTGAAGGTTAAATAAAACCTCCTCTGCACCCGGGAGCTGTACTGAGCGTGCTCCGGAATCCCTTGTCCCTCCCTATGCTGCTGCCTGCCTCTTCCCACTCAGCCTGCAATCAGCAGAGCTGTATCCACCTCCATGCTCCCCCTAAATACACAGCTACGATAGGGCTTTGCTAGTGTTCTAGGACTGTGTGACTTGTGTGAAGTGACTCCTGCAGCTGCAGCCCTTTGGCCTTGGTTCCTAACACAGCTGCAGCCTTCCTGGCCACAGAGGTTGCAGAAGGCTTTGGTAGACACTTGCTCTGCAACACTATCCTGCCAGCCTAGTCTGGAGAAAGTTTACCCTACTGAAGACAGTAAAAAAGAAAATTGAGTGCCAGAAATATGCCAACATATTGAGTTAAAAGAAAAGTGCAAAGTAAATAGGGTTCCCTTCCTTCTCACTACAGCACCATATCAGAGACTTGGCCATCTCTCCCCTGCTGAGATGATAAAGCCCTGGGGGAATTCCTAGAAAAAAGGGAGGGGGTGAAATAACCATAGGTGTAGTTTGACTTCTATATTGGGGGGCAGCTACAGTCAAGCCAACGTGGCTGCACATGGGGGGAGGGGCAAATTCTGTGCCAGCCCATAGGGACACCATTTCATTGGGGGGGGGGGGCAACTTTAACTGTGATTCCAGGGGCTATTTAAGCAACTGAAAACTCTAATTTTTTTTTTTTTTTTTGCAGATAGTAACTTAGAAATTATCTGACAGGAGCACTGTATCTAATTCCTATATCAAGAAAGAAAATTAAATAAATATTAGACCCACTCAGCTCTAATACTAACATGTTCTGACATCAAGTTGTGGCAAGTCACTTAAAGGACACTGGTTAGGTTTAAAATTGTAATGTATATTCTTTCTCAGAGATACTCTTACTAAAATCAGAAGGGACCATCGTGATTATCTAGTCTGACTTCCTGCACTTTGAAGGCCACAGAACCTCACCTACTCACTCTTGTAATAGACCCCTAACCTCCACTAGTACTCCACTAGAACTCCACTAGTAATCTCCGTCTAGCCCAGTGGTTCCCAAACTGGGGTTCATGAACCCCTGGGGGTTCGTGAAATGTTACAGGGGGTTTTCGGGGGGGAAATTCCCTAATGGTGGACAGAGCTGTCCCCAGGGACCCCAGACAGCAGGAGGCCAGCAGCCTAGAGCCCCTGGACTTCCAAGAGCTAAGCAGATCAAAGCAAGTTTATCTATGACACTGGGGAGATTTAAACGTCAAGACTTCTTATAAGAAATGGAAAGAGAGGTGGATATTTTTTGCTGTTTTTAAAATTAAATAGGCAGCTAGTATTGTTTTTAAAATTATGAAGAACAAGTTTAAGCTTTGTTGTAACGTGCGTTGTTTACCTGGACTGCTCAAGACCTGAATGCTTGTGTAGAAGGAACTCTTTGAGTTGGCTTCTTAAGTGCCTTCATGCTGTTTCACATCTGATACTCCTTGATGAAACATAGGAGCCTTGTCTTATAACAGGCTTATTCAAAGTGATGCAAACTATGAAAGTGAGATCTTGGAAGAGTGTTGCCGTTTTCATAATGTAATAAAAATATTGTAATTATAAATAATAATTAATCATAAATAGTGTGTAATAAACATATCATAAAAACAAATGTTATATTTCCAACATCACTGCTTTTATAATTTATACTCAGGTAAAGGAGAAAATCCCTGGAAATATTCATTTTTAGGAGGGGGTTCATGAGACTTGACATTTTAGTGAAAGGGGTTCACAGGTTGTTAAAGTTTGGTCTAGCCTGACAGTTCACCTTTCAGTATGACCCATTGTAGTCTCCCCTTCAACCAGTTCCTTATCCACCGTTCAGTTCTCATATTAATCTGCATCTTCTCCAATTTAATAATTTCTCATGGGGAACTATATCGAATGCCTTACTGACATCCTGGTAGATTAGATTTACTGCATTTCATTTCTCTAAAAATCAGTTATCGTCTCAAAAAAAGATATTAGTAACTTTGTTATTGCCTCTTGAATCCAACAATTGAAACAATTGTAGAAAAATCTACACTTACTTTCTATCATTTAGGCTACTTACTTTTTGCAGTTCACCAACTTGGAACAGATCAAAAAGAACAGGAGTACTTGAGGCACCTTAGAGACTAACAAATTTATTAGAGCATAAGCTTTCGTGGACTACAGCCCACTTCTTTGGATGCATATAGAGTGGAATAAATATTGAGGAGATATATATACACACATACAGAGAGCATAAACAGGTGGGAGTTGTCTTGCCAACTCTGAAAGGCCAATTAAGTAAGAGGAAAGATGTTCAGATGTTCAGGTGAACGAGCCCCTGATGGTATGGCTGATGTGATTAGGTCCTAT